ACACACACACACACACATCCTGATGCTGCTATATATTTCCCCAGGAACATGAATGAAGGGTAGCGGATTGCGACATGACTAGCACAGAATCGTGAGCCACAGTCAGCCTTTCATCGCCATACTCATTCTGCCATAATGCAGTGTGTTATCCATGCCCACGCATGCTTTATAGCTGTGGCAACAGGCCTCATACAAAAGCCCATGTACACACAGACAGTTACATTTGCGCCCCTGCAGACACATACTGTATATCTTCTATTAAGGCCTCTGTAGGATGTGTAGTGTCTCTCTGTCACAGCTCCTCAGAGCAAACACATTTGTGATCACTGGATCCCGTTTTCTGGAGGAGGATACAAGGAAAATACTTTTAATTTTCTGCCTCTCTAATCCAATTATGCTGCCCTACCATCCCTCCATCCTTCCAGCTGGCATCATCCTCTTTCAGGTCCATCAATCCATGTCTCTAAAAGGTATCCACCCCATCGTCTTCTTAGCATTCTTCTCTCCTCTGTTTGAGCGCTTGCTCGTTAACTTTCTTCTCCTTCCTCTGTTCTTTTAATATTCCCCCTCCGTCTCCCTCCTAAGCGTTCTTTATTTATCCTCTCTATGTATGTGAATTCAGGAGAGGCTAAATGTGGCGCATGCACAAAATCCCTTTAAATGAATCACTCCTGCTTTGTGAGGTTGCTGTTTGTACACCCATTGCTCCTAGCGATGGAGTCTGCCCCCTTCCCTCCCTTTTCGTATCTTATTTTTTTTTTTTTTGCCTCCTCACTTCATTACGATTCACACTCCGGCTTTTAAGTGGAAATGCCACCCACGCCCCCTTCAGTCAGAGCGTGTCAATAGATTGTTCGCCATATGGCTCAATTAAATGAGCCTCACTGAAAATAGAACTTTTGACATTTATTTAAACTTTCAAAAATGAAGACAGGAAGGGATGAGGTATGAAATAAGATAAAAAACAGGTTGCTTGTGATATTTTCAAAAGCACAAACGGGGGACTTTATAGGTTGTTTTTGGCTTGTAGCAGTTTGCTGTTTGATTCTGCACACTTACACTCACTTACACCCTTATTCTGAAATGGCTAGGTTTCTGCATTTTCCTATCCGCTCTACACCTGACATCTCTAAGCTCACTGTCTACATCCTCTCAGTAAAGAACAGGGACATGGCAACCTACATTTTTGTGTCTTTGGGCTCTTGGCTCCCTTCCAGCACCGACATTACCTTCTGTTTCTGCTCTCAAAGGCCTGCATGGAGGAGGAGGATGGGCTGTTTTCTGTAATCACACTGTGCTCTTTTAGAGAGAGAGAGAGAGAGAGAGAGAGAGAGAGAGAGAGACATGTGCCCTCATATTTATAAGACGCTCTTAGCAAGCTGTAAAAGCCTTTTCCTTTCTTCTGCATTAGTGAAAAGAAAGTAAAACCTAGTGGCACACTTTTCTCTTTTATCTGCAGTATTCTTTTCCCCCTGACCAGCTTTTAGGTAAAATGGAAGGACGTCTTAAAAGTGCTTTCTCTTTCTTTTGGAGATTCAGCTGTGGTCAGTGTCAGATCAGCCCACCTCACAGCTGAAATGATTGGGTTTATTATTCATTTACTAATTAAAATGAATTCTCATGATTAAAACAGGGCTGGTGCCGCTGCACTCAATGGTTTGGATGATCTCTCATAGAGCTCAAATCATCAGTCTCTCAATTAGAATATCAAATGGGTATTGTTTTTCATTCGCCATGTGTCATTATTACAGACAAATGTAACAATTAGGTTAAAGCTAGTGGTACAATTGATCTTTTTTATCCTAAATCTTTCAAAAAAGGCCAAAAGTTTGGACGCACTCTGAGCCTCAGACCATTTAGCTGATGAAATATACATTCATTAATAAAAAAAAAACCGTTTGATTGATAATATCCTTAATTTTATTTCCCATCCTGAAAGAAAATGTATCGTATCATTTTACATTTGATTAGATGTTCTAGTTTTTTAGTTCCTATCTTCTAATATTCCTAAATGTCAGATATAGAATCCCTTTCTCCTTCTTGATATAGTAAGTTTGGTGGTCTGTGTAAACACCACGATAGAAATAAGTCCAGGACTTTCTATTCTATTCCCCACCATATCTGAAATATATTGTATTTTATGAATTATTAGAACATATCAAATTGCACTGAATCTGATCTGAGTCATTTCAGGTTTGACTCAGAAAAGGCCTGTACCTCTGATTAGCTTCCGTAGAAGCTCGGTTCTCATTGTGGCCTGAGGCATGGTCAACTACATTCATTATATGAACACAATTAACATTGGCACCATAGAGTGAACACAGCTGCAGCCAGTGTGTCTTCGAATGTTGATATGATTCATGGTCTACAGCCCCCACAGAAAACAAGTGTGTACAAGGAATGAGAGGCTTAGACACAGAGGTACGAGTGGGCAAAGTAAGGAGGCATTGTGAGTCGTCCCTCACAGTGCCCACTGTATATCAGACCTAATCAGCACAGAGCAAAGCTTTCATCGCTGCTCCTGCTGCTGTCAGACTGAACTCTCCTCAATCCATAACCACTGCAATCAAGCAAGCCTCAGCTGCAAGCTTAATACAACACCAAGCAAAATGTTTTTATCTGACAGGCAACAGAAAACCAAACAAAATGTCTTCAAGTTGCTGCCATATGTTGTTAGAGGATGATACTAAATGAATTATGTCAGCTTAAAGCTGCACTAAATCAATATTTATGTGTCAAATTATTAAATGTATGGGGGTTGCTCATAGTGACAACCTTCAGAGGATCGTGAGTTGACTCTGCAGTTCCTCTCAGCTCTTCAGGGTATCAGTTTTGCTTTTACGACCCCAAACTTTACTGTTTTGGTCCACTCTCACCACGCTGAAACAGGGCTAAAGGAAGCATAAGTAAATATTGGATTTGCATTTGTGGGGTGGCCACAAACATGACTCCAAGTGAGTGCTAATGTTGCTCTATGTTCTGGATGTGTCTAAGATTGATTTAAATCAGCAACAGTAAGTACAGCAAGAGTGCTGCTTTCTGTATGTCTGTCTGTCACCAGCAGTTAGTAGTAGCAGTCATAACTTGGAGTCATAACATAACTTTGCTGTCTAGCTAAATGACATTTTTACATGATCTCCCCTCGTTGTTTTGTGATTGTTGATTTGTAATTTGTTAGCTTAGTTCTTTCTGTGATATGTTTACTGCTAACCGAGCTAGCTATTAGCTGTCTTAGGCTAATGTGTTTCTAATTCTAAGCACCTGTTAATTTACTGTTGGGCTAACTGTTATGTATTTTATTCTTTTTACTACTTAATTCTTGTGGACTCTGTGTGTTTCTATGAGATTAATTACTGTGCTATAATGACTTTATGTTGATCTTTCACTGACAATACTTAATCATACATAATCTGACAGTCTATACTTTTGTGAATCCAATATTCTTGTCAGTGTAGTGATTAATTTTTTACAACATCTTTCGTCTAACGATAGGGTATCTCACAGTTTCCCAACAGCTAACAGTAAAATCTTCAAAAGCCGAGCCTTGAACCTTTATTGGAAGAGTGTGTTTAGCTTACCACTGGTAGCTATTTTTCGATGGTAGATAATCCACACACTAATAATCTTACTCCTGTCAACTGATTTCATGGGGACTATTTCAATGGGACCACTAGTTCTTTAGTGGGAAATTGTTCCAAGGAAAACAGCCCCCAGTGTTTTGTATGGATTGTGCAGAGTGACAAGGATATTGTTGTTGGAAAGTGAATTTTTCAAAGCTTGGAGCAACACAATTGAAATTCCATTTACGTCCATTGTATTAGGGTGAGAGATTTATAATATATAGCACATTAAACCAAAACTATTGCAGTAGCCTCTAGATAACTTGTCTGGACTCTTTACTGCAGAAGCCCTACAAACACTTTCCAAACTCTTCCTGTTAGCAGTGCATTAGCAGGGTAGCAGCGATATAATACTGTAAGTATATGAAAAGTTGCTTTGGTCGGCACAGCTGTCCCACTTCAGTCTAATGTGTTTGATAATATGACTCATGTTTATCAGGCGATAAAGTAAGACAACCCTGGAGCAGAGCAGAGCAATGAAACACATCAGGGACTAAACATAGCGTGATAGAGGATGTGAAAAGTGAGATGTAAAGTGAGTGTCAGTGTGTGTGTGTGTGTGTGTGTGTATTATGTGCGCACACAATGCATGTACATACAGTGGGCATGCATGCTGGTAGTGATATGTTTGCATGTGTCAGACTACAGTCTATTTTTGGGTGTCGGTCCCGGGGGGTGAACGTGAGGGAGCGGGTGCTTGGCAGGCTGAAGGTCAGACATGATGCAGTGCAGAGTGAGTGAGTGCCGCTGGCCTCTGCTCCTGCTGCGGCCTGGATATTATTCTGGTACACTGACTGGGGTTCTCTCACCGACCTGCCGTGCTTGTTTTGCTTTTATTTATCAAACAGAAGAAAACAAAAAAGCAATTCAAGGGAAGCAGACAACAATGGAAAGCACAATTTGGTTGAATTGAGCTGTTGTTGCACTCAGGGTGCAAGTGTTTTTTTCACATTTGACAAAATGACTATTACATTTTTCTCTGTGAAACTGCATTACGCCTTGCATTTTGATGAGACATAAGACACTTTATTGTCACTGTAGGCATACA